TGTAAGATACCAGAAATCTAAGGTCATTATGCACAACAAATGTCCCATTGGCTCATTCGAAACTCTCGACGCTTGTTTCGACCATGTTCATCTAGATTCGGTAGAACCCTTACCAGATTCAAATGAATACTTTCATTTCTTGACTTGTGTATACCGTTTCACTCGATGGCGAGAATCAGTACCCATTGAATACATTATTGCTGAAGCAGTGGCCCTCGCTACCATCGAATGATGGGTAGCGAAATTCTACTGACATTCAACTTGTACTACGGACCGGTGACTCCAGTTCGAGTCCGAACTTTTCCGTTGTCTGACTACATTATTGAATATCACATGATTCCGAACGAACAACTACCACCCACGAGCAAACTGGTTGGTAGGGCGCTTTCACCGACAACTTAAGGCTTTACTCTCAACCGCAGACGTCTCACAGTGGACCGACTCTATTCCACTCATTTTATTGGGTATTCGCAATGCAGCAAAGGCAGAAATTGGATACACTGCAGCTCACCTCGTTCATTGAACGACACTTAGACTTCCAGAATAGATATATCATGAGTGGGATAAGCAATCGGCACTAATACGTCACATAAAAACAATTAGGGTTAATAAGTCAATAAGTGATAAGTTCGGAATGTGGTTTGAGAAGAATGAATAGATTGGTCTGTTCGGAAACCTAGAACAGCCTATGTGTGCAGCAGAGTATTTGTAAGAAATGATCAATGTGTCATGTTATGTGTGTTCACATACTGGAACGGAAGGTCAAAGATCATGTTTTTTAAACGACAAGTTTACAGGCAATACTGGTAATTGTACGAACTATGAGAACCGATGAAAATGAAAATAGTAATAAAAACTAAGTACCAAAAGGGTCTCGTTTAACTATCCCCCACACCTTCCCAACAACCCTTGCGCTGGTAATGCTGGTGAAGATGCCACAGGTATTTGAAGTTTGACAACGCTTTAACCAGTAACACTTAATATGAATCATACCCACAAAGCGAAATCAAAAGACGGAAGCGAGGAGGTTCGAAGATATATTTGACGGGTTATCAATATGTCAAGGGTCGACTGATCCAGGCTGGCTAGCGACTGCAGGGGATGTTGAGCACGGCTCTCCCACTCGTGATCTGGTGCAGATGCATGACCGAGCGCCTCCAACTATGTGAGTCCATTAAAACTGATGTGGTCAGAATCCAACGTCGCAAACTTACAGAGCTATTGATTTTGGGTATTTATTTGCCACTACCGATCATTACCCCCTAGTGGCGCTACCTTCTGCGCCAGTATCGACGAGATAGTGAACTTACGTTATCACATCTTTGACGTATAACAGACGACTATGTTTGCCGGCTACGGTTTCCGTTAACGCGTCCCGGCTAGGAAGTTTTGTGAATTGTTTTTCGTGTCGGTCGGTTTTGAGTTCGGAAATTTGCAGGGTTTTCTTCAATTTCTGTAAGGCCTTCCGTAGTATTTGTGATACCAGCATCAGTTAGGGTTATCCGTCTCTCGTGGAATAGAGACAGACCGCTTACGTGAAATGCTTCTTCACAGGGTATGTCGGTCTTTACGATCGTTACGAAATCCAAGATAACATTTAACTGTAATACATAATTCCATAATGTCATTCTGGGTCGTTTGAGGTTTTTCTTTGACTGGAAAACCTCAGCATAAGATTTCTGATCAGGTCGACGACAGAACTTTCCACCTAATCTTCGACGGTTCTATTCTATTCCACTTAGGGCATGTAAATGTAACGTTTCCTCCATCACTCTAGAAAAATAAGGACACTGTAACGCATCCAATGGCGAGCCACGAAATCAGTTCACGGACTCAAGCCTTGAGAAGCGAGTGTAGATCACCAACGTAGATGATCTATGTCGAAATGATTGGAGGCCGACTCGAGTTAGACGTGGATAGTGTGACGAACCAACTAACGTCGAAGTCACACCTCGTGGTCAGCACCTTACGTGGACTACCCCCATTGACGTAACAAGGTACTATAGATGCTTTGAAGACTGTACAACACAAAGGACGTTATTACAGAAATATATTAGTTCAGGTAGATACAGGCGAAAGTAAGACCACTGCCGCATGGGCCAGTCCATGGCGTATGATTAACTAATGCGCGTTGCTTGTACATGACCTTGGCAGGGAGCGATGATCTGTTCGACATTCAGTGATCCAACTGCCGGATGATTTGGCTAGGGTTCAGTGACATTTCACTGGCCCTACACGAGTTTCAAATCACTGAAACTTTACCCATTAGAGTATGGACATTTTAGAGCTGGCTTTCTCATGAATTACAACAATCTAACACTCCTTGACACCCCTTAAACACCTGCTTAAACTCAGTGCATTAGAAGTAACACCTGAAAACAATACAACAGAACGGATTGTAGTGAAGATGGCACAGGTATTCACTGTTTGACAACGCTTTTACCAGTAACACCTTCTATTATAACTCGTACCCACCAAGAGAAATCAAAAGACAGAATCGGAGAGATCAGAAGTTGTATTTGACGATTGCCAATATATCGGAATTGTCTGATCTAGTCTGGCTAGAGATTGCAGTAGACGTTGAGCACGGCGTTCCGACACGTGGTCTGGTGCGGATGCATGACCGTGCGCCTTCAGCTAGGTGAGTCCATTAAAACTAATGTGATCAGCATCCAATGTCGAAAACTTACAGAGCTATTTATTTTGGGGATTTATTTACCGCTACAGTAGACACACCTTCTATTCCTCAAGAGTAGTCAAATACTGAAATTCACTGCCTGCTCAGTTAATATAAGAGACTTTCCAGTAGTATTTTAAGAGAAAACTTGACATGTTCTTAAAGATAGTATCCCACTATAGTTTAATAACACTTTTTCTCTGCTATTGTTAAATGTACTTAGCTTCTCACCTGGAGACATTGGCGATCCACTGCTACTAGATACGGAAGCCCGTTAAGCTAAAGCTTCCCCTATTACATCCAGAAGCATTTGACACCATTTTAAGCCATTGTACAAGACAATCATTCCCGTCATTATGAAAATGTACGTTTCTTTTAAGTTTGTAGGTTTGTGGGAAGTTATCAACATTTTAAACGATTTCATAGAATGGTAAATCCTGACATTTGTTCAGAAAAAAGTTTTAAAATTAAATGAATAACTACTCAAGACATGTCAAGCCTTAAGAACGTACTTAAATATATAAGCGGACCCCATTGTTTTCTTATAAGAAGTTAACCCTATAGGGCTAACTTCAGGTAATACTAAATCCTTATTATTCTTACAGAATGTCGAACCAAAGTTCTTAACCTGAAAATACGTTTAAATGTCTACTTGTAGGTGAATTTTCTAATATCGACGGGAGTTATAAAAAAAATATTGGTTTGTCCACACCTGAATATGCAAAAAGTCCCTAAAAAATTATTTAGACTGATAGTCTGTCTAAAACATGCTTTAATTGGTATTTTGATGTATGGGATAACCGATTAAACAGCAAGACAGTTTATATTTACTTATAGTCCCCACATAATTCTGTTCAAACAATCTATTTTGAGGAGAATTTTGGAAAATTAAACTGCAAAAATTCATTCTCCTCAATTTTAATAGAAAACATGCGCTAAATAAAGTTCTTTTGTAAAAAGACTTGCCGAAATTCCTCTTAAAGTCAATTTTTCTTAGATGTATACTCTTTCCTTATGCTTCCACTGTACAATCTACTTTTCCCTTAGGAAGTTTACGTGTTTCCGAAATACACTATATTCACGTATGTGTTGTTTGTGTTGCAATTAGCACAAACCATATGATCAACGGAATTGTATGTTCACCGATTTGTAGAATACAGTAGATTTATTAGTCATATGCAGAAAAAAAATACTATTTGGAGTAATAGCTTGTCACAATATTACCACAAACCTTTTTGTAATCTGTATTTTATAAAAATGTTTTGCCCTTTTGAATTTAACCTCCGAAGTAACTCGTGTGCGTAACTCATCAGAAATTCTGTAGAAACTTTATATTTAGTGAGAAACGAGACTCGAATACTTTTAGGATTTAATATAAATCCTGTTATGGTTCACAACGCTTGGCGTAAAAATTCTACACCTTAAAGCACATTGTTATTGATGTAACCAGTTATGAAGCTTTCGACTTTTCTGTTTTTCTCTTTAAAGCCTATATAGAAAAAGTTAGATGCTGATACACTGTAGTTAAGAAAGCAGTATGGAGTTATCTTGAAGAAGCTTAAACCCCTGCTCCATTGGTTGGAAGCATCACACTTTCATGTTATTTATCATAATTAATTGCGCATAAGGTATGTTTCATGTGTGCTACTTTGTTTAATCACCAATGAATTCAACTCATTTACTTTGTCAATTCAACTTCTAGGAAGAGTAAATTTGTTTAGAGACGGTATATAAATACTTATCCTTTGTTTTAAAAATATCTGAAAAATCTCGGAATTAATGTATAATTTCAGTAATCCAAGAAACCCTGAGTTTTCTAACGTACTAATCCCTGTTAACGTTATAGCATAGCACAAGTAAAATGAAAAAGTGGTTATCTTGTAAAATCTCCTTGCATTTTAAAAGTTCTCCTCTCAAAATCTACACCCTCTTAAGTAATACAATATCGTATCATATACTGGATACTTGTCATCAAATGGATGCGTTAAAGATCATCGCAATAGTTGTTAAACAATGCAATTCAACTATCCTCAAACTTGTTAGTGCCAATTTGTTTAGTTTCCCTCCCATCAAATTTCCTCAACCGATATTAGTCTTCAATTAAAGTCAACCATCCTCAAACCAACAGGACCTCTACAAATTATGTGGTTGAAGTTATGTAGTACTGTTTATTCGTATACCTAAGTGTAGCAATTTTTTTTTGACGTATACCCCTTCATTTTCCATTTTTTTATTTGACTTTTAGTAACGTGCTTACTGCCACGATTATTTGTACAAAATCGAAAATAAACATCTTTACTGAACTTGTGAATTTTTGCTTAGCATGTCTTTAGCTAGAAAGTGGTGGGATAAAAATGAATCAACTACCAAAAGGTATTCATCTGCCGATATACAGCCTATTGGTGAATATTTACAAGAGAAATTTTCTCATGGAGTCGATTATAATAGTATGTTTAGGAATTGGCATAAAAATTGAAATATTTGCTTTTATCATCACTACCATTTTTTCTACATTTTTAATAGACACTTCACTGGTTGTACACCCGACTGACTAGAGAACTAAATTCTGTGATTTGAAATCTCGCTATGAATATATTTATATTCAAGTTTGTAAAGATTATTTATAAATAACCTATTCATATCTAGAGCTCTTTATCAGTGAATTCGAACTCTAAATATTGGATGTAGTTCATCAGACCTCAAATTTATTAGATATATTTACTTTTGTTGAGGCCTGTTACACAGTGTATAGGCCACCAAACAGGGTTCTCCAAACAACTCTGTACCGGGATCCTTTCTAGTTGTTGCCGATTGGTGCCCATGGTCTTAATGTCTGTCTTTGACTCTCGGCGTTATGTGCTCTTTGGTTTTCCTCTTTATCCTTTGTTAGGTTAGATCTTACCTTGCGATGTAATTTTACATGGCTTCCGCAAAGCATGTCCTACCTGCGTTTAGCTTCTTTTCCTAATTTCTTCCTCAACTGGTTTGTTCTGTTTCACATTAGGCTATTGTCGATAGCCTGCGGTTAGTGGATCCGGAGTATCTTTTGTACACATATATCTACAAAACCTGCACTGCTTTGGTGATCGTCGCAATTCTCCATGTTTCGGCTCCATACAATAAAACTTTAAAACGTGTTGAAAATTCTTTGGTCTTAGGTAACAGTTCTTCTGAGTTTCAGATATCCTCCAATTGTAGGAATGTTGTCCTTGCTTTCTCGATTCGTACCTTCACATCTTCATCAGATCCTCTTTGTTTATCAATAAAAATCTGCAGGTATATGGAGACTCCCACCTGTTCTAGAGATTCCCCATCAAGTGTAATGTAGTTGATGCTCACTGTTTTGTACTTCAACATTCTACTTTTTCCCTTGTGAATGTTAAGGTCTATTCTTGAGGAGTCCGCTATATTGGCTGTATTTACCTGCATTTGTTGTTGTGTATGGGATAGAAGGGTTAAGTCATCTGCAAAGTCCAAAGCATCCGTATGTGTTCAAGGTTTCCACTATGTTATGTTGTTTTTCTGAAACAGAGGCCTCCATAATCTAGTCAGCAGTTAACAGGAGGAGAAAAGGTAATCGTTAGTAGCCTTTTTTAACACCAGTATCTGTGAGCTTCCCCCATGCACAACTTTGCAATGTACTCCATCGTAGAAGTTCTGTATGGTAGCGACGATTTTTTCAGGTATCGAGGTGTACCTTTTTCCAACTTTCTGGTACTTGTTCTCCTTCCAGAATCTTTCTAAAGAGAATTGGGAATATCTTTTCAGTTACGTCAACAATGACTGAGATCATGAATCGATCAATGTTAGACCACCACTGAAAACCTGAAAGCATTGTCCAATCTGAGTTCAAAATTTAGTTTCTCTACTAGGATGTTCAGTTCTTTTTCTGAATATTTCTGTAGGATGGACTGCATCCTCGCATTAAAGTGGTTTCTATTATCTTCACTGCTATCGTTGATAAGTGCCTAGTACTGAATAACATTCGTTAGTCTTCTCTACTTTACGCCGGATTACTAGAAAATTCAATGTCAACTTACTTAATGGGTTGTTATTTTTCTAAAATGATGCATAAAACGTTTTGTTTTGGATTCATCTCAATAAGGAGACGAGTGATTTCTTGTCAGGGTGAGTTGTTGACGCTAATTGATAAACGGGTAGTAACCATTGACATCTCGTATAGTTTTTAGTACTGATTCAGGTAAAATTAGAAGAGAATCAAGTAAAAGTATTTATATGTACTTACATATAAACGGGATGCTCCTACGGAAACTAACAACAATAGTTCACTCTTTGCTACTATGAGGCTACAAACATCACTCATGAAAGTAAAATACACACGTAGGCTACAAATATTTGATCAAAGGTATTAGTTGCACATATTAGAACCACAAAGTGAAGAATTGTGTGGCTATGAACAGAATACTAAATAAAAATGCTAAGTTCATTAATAAGGCTATAAACCTTTGTCAGCCAAGTTGGTTAAGACATGGTTTATGCATGCCACCTCCTACTCTGGTATATAATGTTAGTCAACATAATAGTAGATTGGAAAACTACGAGCAGACAAAGCAAGGCAAAATTAATTGATTGTCGTTCTGAGACTAGTCGGTAGGTCCTAACTGCCTATTCGGGGACGACCGCACGATACTTGCCATCGATGGAGTAAAAATCGGTCATAGTGGCTCAGTATTATATGCTCCCTTGAATTATATATATATGAATCTAGTAATTAAGAAATTTAAACTACTTATATTTTTAGTGAAAATTGTTATACGCGGTGATCGTAATGTTGGAAAATCAGCTTTACTTTCGCGCTTGAAGGGTGAACAGTTTAAAGAAGAATACATCCCATCCAATGAGATTCAAGTAACTTTATTTTCGCTTATATGTTAAAATCCTAATAATTATATCTTACTATTTAGAAAAGTAGATGAAATATTATAGTAAAACATCTTTGGGTGCTGTGATGAGAAGACGAATATTATCCGAATTATATGTTATATTAGCACAATGCATTTCGAACAATCTGACCACACATATACTTGTTATGAACATTTATATATGAAAAAGTAAAATGTTAACTAGACATAGTATATATACCGGAAATTCTTCACGCACGGTTCACTTGCGTAAGTACGAATGTATTTTTACACACATATATATTTCTTCCTCCCCCACGACTAATTCTTTCTTCTTGTACTATGTCCTTATATGCAATCTTTCTTTTATATATTACCACCACTGAATTAACTACTTCTATGAATCCAGCGTTCATCTTGTTGTGCTGATAAGATATGGCAACTTGAACCGATGCACATATGTGCCTGGTCCTACGTTGTAGCTGACTGACTGATGTGATCAGATTGTTCGAAATGTATTGTGTTTACACATCATATAGTTCTGACAATCTTCGTCTTCTTTTTACAGCATCCAAATTTACCAAAGGGACTAATTACTTTAAATTCTTGAGTTGATTATGGAAGTATTTTTAAACCAGTTGCCCATAATGTTAATGCTTTATTATTATTATTATTATTATTATTATTATTATTATTATTATTATTATTATTATTATTATTATTATTATTATTATTATTATTTGCATACAGTATGCCTTCATTCATGTTTCTGTTCTGTCGACCTCTGACCACATGGTTGGTTGACCGATTCACTAAATACGGAAAAATATTCACTTAATTATATCACTTCTTCCCACAAACTTATCAGAAGTTGACCCTTTACCTTTGGTTCTCGTATTGACTTGTAGCTATGCAAACTTAATGCAGTTTCGTGTAGACATATCAGGCAATAAAATCTGAATTTCGGGATATGCTCCTCATTTTCCAATCGTAATATGTTGCTTCAAGACTGATATACATCACCACCGAGTTTAACATTAAGAGATGTGATTGAATGGGTTTATCACTAAGCTTATGGGGTTATCGGTTTGATGCATTGGTGGAACCTCTGTGTAAGCACAAAGTTTAGTTTTTGCCAAATTATATTACCTATGCTGCAGTTAAAATATTAGAATGCTTGTCAAAGTGAATGTATTACACACTAGTTCTATGTGTTGTCTTACAAATGTAAAAGACTTCCATTAAAGAATCTTTAAAAGATCTCGTGTATATTACAATCAACAAATAAACAATCCTAGTGTTTAAGTATAAAGTAATTGAATATAGATTTTAAACCAGTTGATATGATTGCAGACCATCGATTTTGGTAATTGCAACATTGTATGCTAAACTGGTAGGAGTACGTGTAAGTTAGAAATGGACTAAGGGTGCACAAAGTTTCAAACTTACGAAAAGTATTCAAGAATATGAGTAAATCAGAGTTATGGTTTTTAAATTAACTTATCAATAAAATGTCAATTATTTGAAGGGCAAATACAAAGTCATATAATTAGTGCCCCGTAATAAGTAATAGTCTTAAATTGATGAAGCTGAAATTTTGTTGTAAATAATTGTGTGTACATAGGATTACCTAACCATACATTACTTTCACTAATAGACATTATGTAAGTGGTTTTGTAAATACGCCTTTGGAACTGTCGTATTGTGTCTGTCTTCTTACAAACTAGTGTAGGTGTTAAAAGTTGATTCTTTAATCAGGTTTGTATCTTTAACTCTGTTCAATGTTGGAAAATTCTAGCGTATCGTAGTTGCTAAACTTATTTAAATATTAGTTTTCCCTGTATACATTACAAAGTAAGTTCAATAGTTGAACCGTACAATGATTAATATTAGATTGTGGTCACGTTTTTTAACCAAATTGGATCATTATACGATATTGTGTCCAGTGCTTCACTAACACAGTTCCTGTTTATATAATCCCCACATTCCACTGAATGTTCACTTCCGATTTTTTTGACATAGAGTTTAGTTGTGTTATCCCCCCGCCTTTCGGTGCTTCATAATCCCTCATGTATAGGGTTTATTAGGTTTTGGAAAATGTAATGATTATAGAGTTTTTTGTTGGATGTGTAGTCTCGTGCCAACACCAATAAGTAATCTCATGATAGAAACGTTTTGTAACATTTCCACGTGAATGTTACCTAGTTATGTACTGTAATACTTTGTTATAATTAAAGCATCCTCAAGTTAATTCTTAATAACATTACTATTTTTGATCGTTAGCTTTACACTTTGGTATTATTTGAATAAATCATACTAAAATTTTTATCCATTGGATATTATTTTCATTCGACAGTTGGCTAACATTCATTGGAATCATCAGAATTCCCAAAGTGTAATTAAAGTAGAAGTTTGGGATGTTGTTGATAAAGGCAAACCTAGGAGTAGTGCTTCAAAAGGCTTGAAGTTTTTCAACAAACTAACAAAAGGCCAACATGTTATCAATATTGGTGGACAGGCTGTGAGTTATTATTTTCTTAAGTTTTCATGTTATATTACTTATTAGTAACTGTGTCAAATTGTGTCAATTTTGTTTAGTGTACTTCAATAAGTATTGATTATAGGTAGTCAGCAGGTTGCTTTACACTCAGATTTCAAACTTACTGGTAAGCACCACTGAAGGTCCTGGATTCAATCCCTAGATGCGGGATTGTGGATGGGCACTGCTTAAAAGTTCTAATTAGGACGGAACTGCCGTCCAGTGCTTCCAAGTCTTCTATGGTGATGTAGTGTATAATGACTTGATGGGGAAAACTATTTTTTATGCAAATTACTTAGTGCTTTCGCAAAATGTGAACATCATACAGTCAATACATTATCTGCACATCTTCCATCAGTTGTCCTGTACATATTTCTCCATTCTTTAAATTTGGTTGTTATTCCAATTCTTCTTTGTTTCCCTCCCTCTTCTCTTCACTTCAATTTTCTACTACCAGGTGTTGCACTTTCGATTGGTGCTACTTGCTACTTATATTTCTCAGCATAAGCAGCATTCACCACAGGGAGACCCAACTAAGACCAGTTCGTAATTTAAATTATGAATATATCTGTAATTTTGAAGAAGTGGATACCTCATCAAATATTCGTAACCTGTGTCACCTACTACGAAAATCGGAAACGCTTCTGTAGACCTATTCATGATAGATTCACACTCGCATTTAGGTTCAAATCAAGTACCTAATAGAATACTTCAGTTAAACTATTGCTTAACTTGTATTTTCTCAAGACCATTGTTATATTGGTGAAGTTGGGGGAGGATCAGGAAAGGAATATTTGTTTCATGAGGGATCCTACTTCAGAAAAATTCACTGTAATGTTCAGCTTAATAATTATTTTAACATACAGACTGTTTGACATATTTTTTAACTGGGACTGTCTTCAAGATGCACAATTATATGTTCGTTACATTTAGTAAGTTTCAATGTAATAAAAAAGTATGTTAAATGGGATTAAGCTTACATATAAATTCTTATAATTTACCATGCTCAAATTATCCGATCATCCTGATCTAGCTTGAATATAAATAATATATGTACTAGGAGTTATGTTTCAAGACAAGCTTAAATCCATTTACATTAGGTAGTCACTATTAATTACTATGTTAAAAAAGCTTTATACAATTCAAAGAGAAATATCATTATGTCTTCTTCAGTAATGATTTAGTTTATAAATTACTACATTCCCGTGTTCAGTTAGCTACTTGAATAAAGTATACTGATAAGAGAATCTAATTCCCTCTTTATTTATCTCATATTAGTTTCCTTATCATTAGTAGTGGTTACTGTCATTTTGATTTAGGGCTACTTGGTACTGAGTATTTAGATTACTTACCTATGTCTGTCACCCCTCGTGAAGCATAGGTCTCCAAACAGGATTCTCCAGCTAACTCTGTCATGGGCTCTCCTTTCCAGTTGTTATCAAGTTTTGTTCATTCTTTCAGAGTCTGCATCCAATTCCTGGCGCGCTGTGTTCTTTGGTCTGCCTCTTTTTGTTCTGCCTTCAGGATTCTAAGCTAGGACCTGCTTTGTGATAAGGTTTGGTAATTTCCACAATTTGTGTCCTACACACCTCCAGCACCTTTTCCTAATTTCCTCTTCAGATAGAACATGGTTTGCTCTCTGCAAGGGTAGGTTGTTGCTGATGCTATCCAGTCAACGGATCTGGAGTATCTTGCATAGATAACTGTTTATGAATACCTGTACTTTTTTGACAATTGCTTTAGTTACCCTCCAAGTTTCATCTCCATACAACAGAACGGTCTCGACGTTTGTACTGCAAATTCTGACTTTGGTCTTGAGTGGCAGTTTTTTTACGTTCCAGATGCCTGAGATTGTCCGTTCATGGGCTTTGTTCAGTAATTTGCAGAGTACTTTAGCTATTGGAGGTGAAATATTTCAACAAAGTATCATAAGAAATCAGTTCTACTCCAAAGAGACACTAATGCTAGTTTATATGAACTGGGAATTTTTACCAACTTTTGAGTAAAACTAAGCTGCATTTCCTTACACTTGAGTACTTCAACACTATTCCATTATTTGCAACGCATAAGAACGATTCACTAAAACTAGAATAAAAATATAATACAGTTGTAAAATCAACGCGTGAATGAAATCATAGTTTCTACACATCCTAAAGTAAAAGAAGCGTCCTCCAACGTCTTTTCCTAATTTTCTCTTCAGTTGTAAGTTGATTTGTTCTCTTGCATAATAGGTTGTGCTAATTGTTTCCGGCCAATGGATGTTGAATATCTTGCGTAGACAACTATTTATAAATACTTGTACCTTCTGGATGATGGTTGTAGTAGTTCTCCACGTTCTGGCTCCATACAGTAGAACCGTCTTGATGTTCGTATTGAAGATCGTGACTTTGATACTGGTTGACAGTTGTTTTGAGTTCCATATGTTCTTTAACTGTAGAAATGATGCCGTTGCTTCGCCAAGCCTGTCCTTTAAGTCTGCATCAGATCCCCCTTGTTCATCGATGATGCTTCCCAGGTACGTGAAGAATTTCACATCTTCCGGAGTTTCTCAATCGTGTGACCGGGTTGGTGTTCTCTGTGTTGTATTTGAGGATGTTGCTATTTACCTTGTGTATGTTGAGGCCTACTGATGCTACACTGGTTGTCTTGACCTGAGTTTGTTGGTGTGTGTGTGTGTGCATGGGATAGAAGAGTCAGGTCACCTGCAAAGTCCAAATCGTCTAGTTGCATCCAAGCTGTCCATTGTATTTTGTACTTCAACTGAGATATGGAGGTCTTAATGATCCAGCAAACCACCATAAAAAAGAGAAAGGGAGAGAGTAAGCAGCGTCGTCTGTCTTCGGTGATTACTTGGAATGAGTTTGTCAGCTGTGCTCCATTCACGACCTTGCATATGCGTGGTGCATATGTATTTGGTGCCTCCTTGTACCAATATCTATGTGTTAAAATAAATAAATAAATAAAAATTCTTGACTATGAGAAAGCATTCGACAGTTATCCGTAGTGTCGCGATTTGGTTTGTGCACGACCGATCCTTACGGAATCCGGTCTGTTGATCTCGAAGTTGGGCGTCTACTGAGTCTTTCATCCGCTCAGCAACACTCTTCTGAAAACTTTTCTTGGTACTAACAGTAGTGTGATGCCTCTGTAGTTCTCATATTTGCTCAGATCTCCTTTCTTTGGTATCTTGATGAGGTATGCTTTTTTCTAGTCTGCTGTGTCACTTGTTCTTCCTACCAAATCTTCCTGAATAGGACGTGGAGCGCGTTTGCAATTACTTCCATGTCTGATTTCAGTGCTTCGTTCGTTATATTGTTAGGTCCTACTAACTCCCCACTGTTGACTTGTCTCATGGCCATCCTGATTTCTTCGATCGTTGGTGGGGTGACATCTAAAGGAAGGCCTGTGTGTGCTGCTTCGATATCCAGTGGATCCGATGAAGCTGGTCTATTCAAGAGTTTCTCAAAGTGTTCCATCTATCCGTTCAGACGTCTTTAAATTTCAGTGATTGGCTTGCCTTCTTTGTCCTTGACCGGCCTCTCTGGTTTACTATATTTCCCCACCAGTTTCTTCGTTGTGTCACATAGTTGTTTGACATTCCCTTCTGTTGCAGTTTTTTCATCTGTTGTTGCTAAGTCTTCCACGTATTTCTGCTTATCAGTTCTAATGCTTTTTTCCACTTGATTGTTTGCTTCTCTGTATTCAGCTTGTGTCATCACTTTCTCTGCTCTTATTCGGCTATTGTTAATCGTTGTCTTCTTGGTCTTCCTTTCTTGAATTTTGTCGATAGAGGTCCATTCCTTATGATAATGCCTCTTGCAACCCAGAACCTCCTTATATGTTGAAGTTAATGCTTCTTTGATCCTTTTCCAATTGTTCTCCATAGTAGTTTCATCTTCTTTAAGTAGAACTTGTAGGGCTTTGAACCTGTTGTTGAGTTTGTCCTTATCTTGAAGAAAGACTGTATTGAACCTTTGTCATGCTGTTTGTGCAGTTTTCCAGTGCTTTTTTTTATCTTCGATTTCATCTTGGCAACCACCAGATGGTGGTGATCTGAAGTTATGTTAGCTCCTCTCCTAGTTCTCACGTCTTTCATTGACCTGATTTCTTAGTGATGCAAATATGGTCGATCTGATTCTGCGTAGTGCGATCCGGTGAGTCAGACCCACGTAGCTTTATATGTGTGTTTGCGGAGGAATATTGTGCCGTCTATAATCATTTTGTTGAATGCACATAGGTTTGCAAATCTGTCACCATTCTCGTTGGTTTCTCCTAGTCAATCCATGTCGTCCCATGATATCTTGATATCCGATGTTGTCCATTCCAACTTTGGCGTTTAAGTCTCCTATCCTGACGACCAGGTCCTTTTCTGAGCACTTCACTGTGATTGATTGCAGCCTCTCACAAAAGTGATATTTATTGTCGTTGTTGCTATCATTGGTGGGTGCATAACATTGGATAGCATTCATTATGATCCCTTTGTTGTTTGTTTTGTAGGATGCTTTGATGATTCTGGGTTCGTGAGATTTCCATCCTACAAGTGCTTCATGCACCTCTTTTGACAGCATCAAAGCAACTCTCTGAGTGTGCTGAGCATGTTCTTATTCGTGATCCAAGTACAGCAGTATCTATCCTGAATCTATTCTTTTCTGTCCAGCTTGGGTCCAATAGGTTTCAATGATTCCGAGAATCGTCAAGTTGTATCTCCTCATTTCCGTAGCTATTTGACTGGTTCTTTCAGTCTTGAACATTGTCGGGACGTTTCATACACCTACATTAATTTTTGCTCTGGTTGTTAGAAGGGGCATCGACCTCGTGATTTTCGAGGAATCTGGGCTTTCACCATGAGGTATCATAATTCTTCTGAACGAAGATCCTTCAGTTCGGAGGAAGAGTTTAAATGTTACATTTTGTTTATTCTGGTTAACGTTTTCTGGCAAGGTTTTTCTACGTGATCAGGTTGCTGACCCCATAACCCCCCTCCTTTTTGTGGGCTTTAGAATGGCAGTAACCCTAAAAGAGCCATAGTTGGAGTTATTTATTCTCTAACTACTGACATGTATATGAGTAGCTTCAGAAAATTAACTTAACATTTATGACACTCTATTGGCTCACCACTTAATCTTGCATTTGTTCAACCTCGTGTAACATTCCTCTAAAAAGCCTCACATGTATAAATAGTAAACGAGTTCACTTTATATAGAAATATTAGCTTTAATATATTCAGGAGATGAAAGGTTTCGATAGAACAGGAATCTTACAGAGGTTTCATGACAATACTATTGTTTGAAGGAACTGTTTCATTACAAATGATTATAATAATATCAAGTATTTTAAGACTATTACAAGACCATTCTGATGGAAATCTTACAAGATAAAATGCACACAAATCTCTTCGTCCTGCTATTTTGTCTACTTTGATTATAAGACTACAAAGAACTTGGAATCAATATCTTATTTTAATCTAAGTTTTTGATAATTCATTTTTGTAATCCCATCACCATTTATCGATGTAGGGTACTCTAATAAAAAATTAATGTATCAAAGTTTAAATAGCGAGTTCTCAAACACCACATTTTTCTTCAGACTGTATCTACTCGTTGAATTACTTCAATTAAGTGTTCACAAACTGATGAAAAACCTTTCTTCACTCAACATCTGAACCTAATTTTAAAACTTTCAATCGGAGACATTACCATGGTGCTATTTACTCCCTTCACCTTCTTAGAACCAATTCTCGTAATTGGGTGTGCATTAGATGTTTGGTATTTAGACTATAAGTCAAAAGAATTTAAATTCAGAGCTTCGTTTAAACCTAACCCCAAATATATAACGTATATACAATACATCATAATACCATTCCACTTGACTTAGTTCCCAAATTTTAATTTGATTTAGACCTACAATTCGGCTACTATAATTCTTTTTAATTCAAAAATCTTTTGTTCAGATTTTATGCCCATTTATTCGCATTTTAACCTTTTCCTCTATAACAGGGAAATATTGAACCATGTCTAGATGCAAGTTTTATTAATGTCTACAAAGGTGCACATGGTGTTATCTTAATGATGGATATGACAAAATCATCGTAAGTTGAAATTTTAACTTTTTGGTTATGTACCTATGATACTACCAAAATATTAATAATTCAACTGAATATTAAATTGGTTTTGTTATCTTCAGAGAATACTCATTTTGTAAGCCGTTATATATTGAAATTATTTGTTAAATATAATATCAGTTGATGTAATTTGTAAATCGACTCAAACTCCGCTTCGTTTCCATTCAATCTGTTGTGTCAAGAAAAAGAGATTATACAGAATAATCAGACTATTCGTCATTAGTTTACAGTCGTTTTAGGTTCAGTAAAACATTTCATGTTGGTTATAATATTGACACTAAATATAACCCCTTCATCAATTATTCAATACAACTTGAAGCCTAATCCAACGAGATATTCTTATCTACTGTTATAAAAATTTAAGTAGTGCACTGAATAATCCGAAAATATTTTACCATATTTTCAAAAATTAGCATATCGAAGAAGGTCATGAAAACAGATTTTTCATCGTAGATTACTAATACTTTCCTCTTATTTTGGATATATTTCGATGAAAAATTTTAAACGACGAATGGTTAGTGAATCAAGATTTGCTTTTATACAAGTAATATACTAAGTGGTTTCTGATGTTGAAGTATTTAAAATCGATCGAGTTGCCTCGTAATGCTTCCAAAAACATAATCTTTTAAATTTGGACAACCCGTACAGCATTTTGTTGTCCGTAATTTCTTCACCTTAAGTTTATAGAAACTTGTGGATATTCTTAAGTGTTGTCAATATCAGGACATACTGGACAGCTTGTTCGTCCTAGTATGGGACTCTCAAACTGTGTGAACCCGAAACCCCATCCCAAGGGATCGAACTCGAGACCTTCGGTCGCATACGCGAACACTTAATCTTCAGATCACTGGGCTGGAATACAATGATGTACACATCTATCTTCAATCACTTTTTCATATTAATTAACCATCTTTCATTATCTTACATGCATAACTATCTCATACCCAGCACATTTGCGCTCTAGTAATCACGTCTCAGTTTAATAATCGTCTACTTTTCTCACTATTAACACGTTTCTTTAATGAACACTAAATTAAGTTGATTTAGTAAAGAAATTGAAATTGAATTATTATTATTATTATTATTATTATTATTATTATTATTATTATTATTATTATTATTATTGATTCAAGTATGACCTAACTTTCAAGTAAATAAATAGTAGGTGTAATTTATAAAGTAGAATAGTGTTTAACACTAGTAACTATTATCATGCTTTGAAGATGTGACATCCGCCGAAAGTGCATACAACATTTGCACATAATTGTCATATATATTCATCACTTTCTATGTAGATAGGTTAATTACGCATTTGGTATTACCGATTATCGAGGTCATGCTTTTAAACTTATCAATATATACTACTACTATTTGTAAAATTTTCTGTTTTCACATTCACTTGTAATTTATACTACTGATATCAATAAAAAAATGGGTCAAGTTTAATTAAATATATTCATTGGTAACTTTAATGAGAGAAATAACAACAAAACAAATTATTCTTTAATACACTGTATTAATCGATATCTGTATTGATTTTCCTGATCGATCGACTTTCATTAGCACTTAGCACTAGTAGTCGGTTGTAGTATTTTATAGAACCACTATTTTTATCGTCCAACGACTCTAAATCTTGGAGAATTACTCTTACATTCTGTCATATAGACTATGGTCTTTGAATTAATATAAAACGAGGAAATTCCAAATATTTTTTATATCGATGAGGTTTATGGAGATCCTTTTTCAGTTTATAATTTACATCATGGACTGACTTTATCACTAGGCACAACCATTGAAAAACGTAAAACAACGGACATATGTTTTATCCTAATCTTAGACTGCGTAACGTTGCACATTTGGGACTGTTCAATGTCCATAGATAATTTCTGTTGAACAGTTAGCCTATTTCATATTTGATTCCCGAAATCTTTTTAAAAATTTTTTTACTGTACTTTTAAGAAGGTAAAATAGATTGAACCGACACGCTCCGTATCCCCAATTTCATATTGTCAGGAATGATGAAAACTTAACTATGAACATGGTCGCGCGATATTATGAAGTGATTGGGGTGAAACATGTCAATTGTTGGGTCCCGGTCCAGTGGTCTAGACTTTAAACGTTCACATGTAAGACCGGAGGTCCTGAGTTCTACCCCTTGTGGTGGGTTTGTGAGTGCTCACTATCAAGAGGTTCCATATTAGAACGAAACCGTTGTCCAGCGCTTTCTGGTTTTTAAAGATTACCTAACTAAGATCAGTTCTTGACATAAACCATGTAACTCATAAATTTCCATAAACCCTTTATGGTGAATAAAATGAATGACTTCTTTTCCTAGTGATTAGTTACCATTTACTGAAATTACTGCTAAATATTCCTGTTTGTGTATTTGCAAACCACAGGCCTTGTGTTTTATAGGAGAAAAAGGAAAACACAATAATATGGCAAAAATCAATAATGTAGTGATATCCATGGAAAAAATGTCAGGAAGATAGTAAGAAAAATTCAAGGTCAAAACTGGCCAATCAGAGAAAAGATAAGTATCCTGGATAAATATGTGATTCATCTTAAATAATTTGGTGTAGGCATTAGGAAAAACAAACATCCTATTAAATTTAGACCAGGTAAATTACGTGTGTAAAGTCGATAGGTTTTCCGCAAAGAAATCCATTGATTTGATTTTCCTGATGACTATGATGATAACTTTGACCAGTGTTGTTCACTTTCTGTCGAATTATATATATAATGGAAATTATTGAATTGGTATATTCGATCAGATGTTTGACAGTTCAGTTGTGTAACTCAACTTACAATGGTATAATTATTTCACATAAGCTGACTTAAAACATAACTATCGAAGCAAATAAACGAGAATAGATACTTTATCTGAGTTTGAGTCGTAAGATAATGTCAGCTGATATATCAGTGAAAATTAAAGAGAAATAGACAGCTATTTCGCCATAGTTCAAGTACCCAGTAACAGTTAGATGGTGGTTGGAGGTAGTCAACAGGAAACCCTGGACCCGGGTTTCGTGCTACTTGGCACTCGTCAGCAAGGTGTACCTGTAATCTTGAGGGAACTGGTGCTCCCTGGCGGATCCGATCTCGTGTCACCCAGCTTCACAGTCAGAGACGTTACCACTGAGCTATCCGAGCCGTGACTAACCTCCTGTAGGACTGAGATGTGATCACAATTGATTGATCACTGGGTGGTGGTGATCAATGTCATGCTTGTCTAGTCCTTATTAGTGCAGATCGAATGCTATCGATCATGTTGCAATGTCACGGCTCGGATAGCTCAGTGGTAACGTCTCTGACTGTGAAGCTGGGTGACACAAGATCGAATCCGCCAGGGAGCACCAGTTCCCTCAAGATTACAGGTACACCTTGCTGACGAGTGCCAAGTAGCACGAAACCCGGGTCCAGGGTTTTCTGTTGACCACCTCCAACCACCATCTAAAATCTCAATACATAGTGCCCGCAGTGTCGAGTTACCTAGACTGGTGGCCACATTGCAACATGATCGATAGCATTCGATCTGCACTAATAAGGACTAGACAAGCATGACATTGATCACCACCCAGTGATCAATCAATTGTGACCCAGTAACAGTTTCAGTACCCAGCCATAAATTCACATAAAATCCATTGATCTCAAGACGCTTGCATCTTACAATAAGTACAATACATTTAGATGAATAAGTAGTGATACCCAACACTTCATATATCCAAATTTGACCATTTGCTGATATTTCATAATATTCACCCAACGTCATAAATAAATTTTGGTTGTCTTCATAAGTTGCAGCTTATTAGAAGTATGAAAAAGTTTTATACCTGGTTACTAGTGAAAAAGTACTTATTATTTAGCCAGATTGTTTTGTAGAAACTTTAAACTTTTGAAATTGGTAGTTTTATGTACATAAGTTGTCCTAAAACTCAGAATAATATAGAAACCTAGTTTTTCCCTAAGCCGATATCATCTCTGTAATTCAAACATGAATGCAATAAATATAGCGATCATATAAAGTATTTGAATCAAGTGATTTCATACAGACTTTATAGTTCAAAAATAATTCTCATCCGAAATGCGAATAACCTCATCTGGGAAGCATTGAATAGTTTTCATTTGAACTTTTGACCAATATACACACTCATGATTCAACATAATGCTGAACTCAGTAGAAAGTTCAGCTCTCGAAATCAATACAACATCATTTAATCACCAAGACGTAGTCCAATGTTCCACTCTTTCTAAATGCAGTCACTCCGTGTTATAGTACAATCCTCGTACTATCATCAATGAGACTGCTTCTCAATCCTAATTTCATTGACTTCAGAGATGCTTGTTTCCTTATCTGAAACAACATACTCCCATACGGAATATTCTCAAAACTCGAGTTCTGGTGAACTATAACCTTTTTCGTAAAACCCTCTTCGATATCATTGCCTGTTCAATCCCTTGGGGTGTTTTATTCTGTTACCTACTTCCTTCTGAAAGTTCCTTGATACGTTTTTTGCTGATTTCGAAAATTATCAGGCAACATATGCTTTACTATCCATACTTTTAATTTCCTTATTCTTCATGAAAGTTTATTTTTACCCACTCTCATTCGCTGTATAAATTTTCATATAGGACATTTGAATATGTATGTCGTGAACTTGTACAAATTCCTCCAAAACTGCCCATATTAATTATGTCAAATTTCCATGATATACAAGAACAACGTAAAATCACTGAAGAACAAGTTCAAATGTTCCTCAATGATTCCATTATGCAATCAAATCAGTATAATGTTACATCTGATGAAAAATTCAATGAATTATCAAGAAATATTTATGTACAAAAGTGAGATTTTTTAATTAGAAAAAGGTTGTTCAGGAGTTTTATGTATATATTTTCATAACATTCTTAATTTACCGCCCACAATTTGAAGTACTGTTCACTTAAATTCGTTGATGCTAGATGGTTTTTGATTGTCGAGTAGGAAACCTTGCTTGGCCCTAGTCAACAAAACATTCCTACCACCGTGTTTCATTAACCACCAAAATTATTTTAGGTATTAGGAGGTTTCCACTATGGTCTTTATTCTACATTAATTCGCATCATTAGTTTAACCGATCTTTTTTCACATCTATGCCTAATTACACGTATAGATTATGTCATCTTTCATTTATAATTGCAATTTGGTTTTAAAATTTGTTACATAAGTAATACAACATTCAAAAAATAAATCATGCTTCTATCTTAATTGTTGAAAAAGTAGTTACGCAATATCGCATGATAATCAGTATTTTAATTGTTAATAAGACAATATAACAAAAATCCTAGCGATTGAATAGTATTAAAATTATCTAATGGTTCATTATGATGTTACTCGAAATAACTCAGTTTTATCAACTTTAATTTTAAAACATAAAAAAATTAAATCAACGCTCAAAAGAGAGAAACAAATAGCTTTTCAATATCGTTACTTTCCATTATTAGTGAGTCCTTATAAACTTTAGTCGTTCATTATTAAAAGATCTCTTACCAAAACTGTCATTTCTCAGTGCTTCTGTGGTTTGGTCGTACAGAACTGATCAGTAACACTTACAAACTTGACAAAACAAGATAATAAATATATTTTTTGTTGTTATATCCCAATGAGTAGAAAATTTGTATTTCTGACGTTTCGTGACTTAATGTAAGCCACTTCTACAGAGTAAATAAACGACCGAATTAAATTAACACAAGTTTAAAATAGTACAAAGGAAACAATGCAAAACATTTTTAGTACAATCAAAATCACCATAGGTTTGCATATGTCAATGTCAAGTTATTCTTGGTCAAGGTGAATTTGTATGACCTGTCACTGTATTAAATTGTGCGTCAGAATGTGGGTATGAAAAATGTATGCATTTGTAATATAAAGTAGTGAGGTTGAGACTAGGTATGTGTGTGTAGAAGTCGCCGCAATCCTAGAACCAGTACTCGAAAAACGTCCAGACAAGCAATCGCATATATTATGTCAAGAAACATGTAACATATTGACAAAACAAATATCCGTTCCACCTAATGTTTCCAAAGAAGAATGGAAAGCTTTGCACTCATTGCAGAAAGATAGAACGATTGTCATTACCTAAGCTGACAAAGGGAATACAACAGCGGTCTTCAGCAAGAGTGGCTATGAAGGAAAAGCCCTTTAACATCTATCGACGGGACCAAATTTGAAGATCGATTCAAAGAATCTTCAAGTGGTTAAAAATAAATTTAAATCAGAGACAAGTGAATTCTGAAAGAACTAAAGCAATTTACTGGCATTTCCCTATAGTTTACTTTATACTCTAAATCCAACACCATATCACGATTCTATGGGCCACCAAATATGACAAGCTTGACATTCCTTTAAAACCCATAGTGGACTTCACGAATACCTCGACATATGATTGATCTAAATGTCTAAACAGCATACTGAAGCCACTTCAACACAATCTAATTAATGTCTTAAAGGATTCATACGAATTCAAATCGAAATTCTTGAAGTTATCCATCAACGTGAACGAAACAGTGGTAAGCTATAATGTATCTTTATAAACTAGCATTCCAATTGACAGATGTCTAGACTTCACTAATGGTTCACTAGAGAATAATAATACTCTATGTATTTTAATCATCAAATCCTTGAAATTGTGCTTGAACTCAACCCTTCTCCCTTTTAAAGGTACCTTATGTAACAAATAAATGGAGTAGCTATGTGATCTCCAGTATCTCAGATTGACCGAGACTTATTTATGTCCCATACTGAGTCGCTCATTTTTGCTAGCACCATCAGACCACGCATCTGGCTCAGATATGTAGATGACACATTTGTCATCATTAAAAAGACCTTACTTAGAAATTTCTCCAAAAACATAAACACGTTCTCAGAACACATCAAATTCACTTTTGAAATAGATGAACATAGCAAACTACCTTTCTCAAACTATCTAGTTTAAAGGAATTCTAATGGTAGTCTAAATCTAACCATATACCGAAAACCGACACATTCTGATCGGTATATTGATTTTAACTCTGTACATCCATTCAGTGCGAAACTTTCCCTATCCCTGAATCTTTTCAGAAGAGCAACCAGGATCATTACTTCAGAAGAAGGAAAACTAAAAGAAAAAGAGAATATAATAAACATGCTACGATTTAATAATTTCCCTGAAAATATTAAAAACATTAAAATGAAACTATCCGTCTGTAAATAACAATCCTAATAAAAGATCTTGGATTGGTACTGTGGTTTCACTTTACCACCAAGGTACAACAGAAGAATTACAAAGGACATTGGAAACGCACAAAATTGAAGCTTTCTATAAGATAACTAACACTCTAAGAAACTATTTAGTTAAAATAAAGATACTATCCCGTTCACTTCCACACAAAATTGTGTCTACAGATTAAGTTGTGTCAATTGTGATGCATTCTGTATTGGAGATTCTCCCCGTGAGGTCTCGACTCGTGCCAAGGAACATTTAATTTACACAAAAAGACCTCCTAATGATCGTGTAGAATTAGAAAATTTACAGGTTTAATCAGCAATAGCAGTGCATGCTATTTTCACCAAATCGAGACTAAAAGTATCAAAATAATTCAGAAAGGCTTTTCCAATTACAAAGAGAGGCGAGTAGCCGAAACGTTCCACATTATGCCAAATCCCTCTGCCTTCAATAAGAAAGAAGGCCTGAATGTTCATTCAACTTGGACTGTTTATCCAAACAACCACATATGACCTTATTTTCCACACAATTTTCATACACATATCTAATCTAAACCTCACTACTTTATATTACAAATGCATACATTTTTCATACCCACATTCTGACGCACAATTTAATACAGTGACAGGTCATACAAATTCACCTTGACCAAGAATAACTTGACATTGACATATGCAAACCTATGGTGATTTTGATTGTACTAAAAATGTTTTGCATTGTTTCCTTTGTACTATTTTAAACTTGTGTTAATTTAATTCGGTCGTTTATTTACTCTGTAGAAGTGGCTTACATTAAGTCACGAAACGTCAGAAATACAAATTTTCTACTCATTGGGATATAACAACAAAAAATATATTTATTATTAACTTTCTACCCAATGATCAATTTATTTGAAACCATCAAGTTCAACCTTGGCATTGATACCTATAAAACAAGATAAATTCTAGTCGTTTACTTTTATTATTACTATTATTCTCAGTGACCAGGTTCCGTTTGCATTTCTTGAATTCCTATCAAGAAACTATGACCTACGAAGTCATTCAATTTAAATGAATAAAACATTAACACATCAATCACACTGCATAATGTTCACATTGCAGTGCATTGATTGACTTAACCCTAATCCGGTTGTTTGATGTTATTTTATATGCTTTGAGATGTGAAGTTTCTAAGTTCAATCTTATATTGGAGTTATGCATGAATGGATTGTTGAGAAATCCTCCAAACTGAAACAAAACACGGATTGTTTATCAGCAATATCTGGTTTTTAACAGATCTCCAGGTGAGATATCAACTCTTAAGAAAAGTTATAACCAAATGAATATCTTTATTGAAGGGGTTTTATGGAGATCTGTTTGATTTGTAGGTCGTATTCGTCATAGATTAATTCCAGTTGAAGCATCATTAAAAACTGAGGAGCACTGAATAGCTGCTTCTTCCTAGTGCTGGACTCAGTAGAGCTTACACACAATTTCATCAAGAAACGAACCAAAGACCTTCCAGTCTGGTAGTGAATCCTTAACCATTAAAACTACTATTTCGGTGTCCAACATTTTGACTTCAACCATTTTGTGATATACTTCGATGACCATTACATAACATTGGCGACAACTGCTTTACTCCTAACTAATATGTCTAATGCTGGGTAATCCCATCTCAAATGCTCCTTGACTTCCATTGTTAACTCAACTAATATTAATATGATATGAATACAAACTACAAATACGTATTCTGCTATTTTTTTTCTCGACTTAAAAATAACTAACATCAATTTCATGTTCAAATATCAATTTTGCACTTTAAACGAGATCAATAAGGAAATGAATGCTTGATTCTCTTGTTTAAAAATAAAATTCACAATTTGCATAAAGTTATAAAAAAATTATTTAATCTTTGTCCACATTCTCTCTTGCATAAACATGCATATATACACACATGTTTCTGCGTATAATTTACATTCGTTATTACATTGTTTTCCATTTCAAATATATACGTGCACTGAATAAACATTTTAATAAGTTTGAAATCATGAGTCAGTTGAAGCTAGACCACCATTGAAAACCTGGAAGCACTGGACGGCCGTTTCGTCCTAATATGGGACTCCTCAGCAGTGCGCATCCACGATCCCGCACCACGCGGGGCTCGAACCCAGGACCTACTGGCTTCGCGCGCGAGCACTTAACCACTAGACCACTGAGCCGGCATCCAACGGTGTTAATGTCTAACTTCAACCAATCCACGAAGTTGCGCTACCGTACACCATTGTCTTCAGTGAGTTCCTATCTCACAACAGACCTGGTTGAACTCCACTGGTACCAGTGGAGAAACTCCCGAAGTTCTAGTGAGAAGCCGTTACCAGTGGAGTTCAACCGGTCTGTTGTGAGATAACAACTCACTGAAGACAATGGTGTACGGTGGCGCAACTTCGTGGATTGGTTGAAGTTAGACATTAACACCGTTGGATGCCGGCTCAGTGGTCTAGTGGTTAAGTGCTCGCGCGCGAAGCCAGTAGGTCCTGGGTTCGAGCCCCGCGTGGTGCGGGATCGTGGATGCGCACTGCTGAGGAGTCCCATATTAGGACGAAACGGCCGTCCAGTGCTT